AGGAGCCCTTCATTTCTATTTGTTGCAATTTTTTTCATTTTTCACATATATTAATTCCATAACCCTGTTGAGACTGAGAAAGGGGACTGAGAACATAAATTCCTCAGTCCCTTTTTCTGCAGCCTCATCTGCATTACAGATAAATGAATAAATGGTGCTTTGAACAGAGGCCTCCAGTTCATTCACAAACTGAAACATGGTAAATACCATTTACTATGCTTTGGTTATGACTGGTCGGTAGCGATCACTCACTGTGTTCTTTCAGAAAAGGAAAGGGCCAGTAAATAAAGCTTTGGCCATACTTCTCCTTTAGGCAAGTGAATAGTTGAGGGGGATTTGTAACAAGTTACTGGACCGAAGGATTTCTTGTCACCTGGTAATGGCGATGTTTCAGAGCTGCTAAAGGAACTCTGCAACAGAGAATAGGACCCAGAAGTAAAATTTTTTTTGTCAAAGGCTTCGCAGTGCTGAGCAGGGCCATACAGTGAACGTCACTAAAATAGTGGGGAAGGTAAGTATTTTCAAGGCACTCTTAGATATGTGGGTGAGACTATAAAAGATGAATGGACTGTGGGTACAGCTGTCCATTTAGGGTTTTTGTTTTTTTTTTATTTCAGTTTTGCACAGTTGTACAAGCTCCCCTCAGGTACTGAAAATGTTTACTGATTTCACTGCAGACTGAAGGATGAATATTTAAAGGAAAGCAGGAGCTAGCAGCACAAGGGACACATCAGATTAATAGCAAGTAATGCCCTTTTGGACGGAATGTTTTTATTTTTTATTATTTTGACTATGTCTTTTTAGTACATCAGGGGACACAAAGCCTATTCATTACAATAGGTTTATGCTGCCACCTTCAGGTGATTAGATACTTGGCAGGAAAACAATACAGGAAGTCCCCTCTCAAGCATAAGGCTTCAGTTTTTTTTTTTGCTAGTCTTACGTGGTGGTCATGCCTGTGCAGTCTCTGCATGAAAGCATAGCTAGTTTCTCCATGGTTCCACCTGGGATTAGGATACTAGCTTCTTCTGGATCCATTTTCTTACGGTTTTTCAACACTCAGAGGAATGGTAACTGGACCCCTCAATGGACAGGGGTGGACTGTCTATACTTGCCAGTCAGCACTGGACCTGACAAAATCTGATCCTGCACAATGATGTATTGTCTTGCAAATGTGCAAGGTGCAGGTCTAGGGCACTGATCCCCAGAGCCGGGGAGTTGAGTCCCTGAAGGCACTTTTGGCATTAATAGGGTAAAGATTGGACTCCCTAGGGGTTCTGCGCCAGCAGTGGTGAGTTCCCCAGTGTAGCCTGCTGGTACCCTCCTTTGGGAATAATTCTCATCTATCACAGGATTACAATAGCAGATTTCCACAACACTTGCCGGTATCTCCTGTGGCCAGTTTAGTTGGCATTCTTCCTGCTGCAACTGGCTGTGTTAGTGGCTGAGTTGCTTTGCAGGATTGATTTCCTTGGCCTGGCCCAGAAAAGCTTGGTGCTCAAACATTGTGAATGTGTCAGGTGATGACCTTTCTGGATTTACCTGACCTTCTGACAAAAGGTCCATTCTTTCATCCTTCTTTGGTTGTTTAGCTTCAACAGCCCAGCCATTAAAAGCAGAGTCTTGAGAGACACTGGAGTCTCTGATTTGGTCATTTCTACAAGACTGAAGGCATGGAAGGTGATTTTCAATGAAGATTTACCACAGAAATTTTAAATCTTATTTTGCTTGGTATGAGACTAGAGTCACATCTTGGCTTTTCTCCATTCTGTAATTGATTGCGAACTGGCCTTGAGTATGTTCATGGGTCAGTTTTGACCTTGGTGGTCCTTTTTCAGAGACCTATTGCTTCACATTCTCTGGTGCATGCCTTTTGTGCAAGGGGTCACACGTATTGTTCTACGGGTCTTGACTGTATGGGACCTCAACGTGGTTCTGTTTTGCAGAACTCTACATTTGGACCCATCCGGGATATTTCTGTAGTCCTCCTGACTTGGAAGGTTATTTTTCTTATTGCCATTACTTTGACTTCTAGTTCTGGGATTGGTTGCTCTTTGCTGTAAGGAACTATTCTGGTGCTCCACCATGACAAGGTGGTCCTATGGCCTCAGCTGTCCTGTTTACATAAGGTGATTTCTTCATTTCATCTCAACCAGGACATTGTGTTGCCTTCTTTCTGTCTCAAACCACAGGCATCGGGGAGCAAGGCTTTTCACACTTTGGATGTGATTTTGTGCTCTCAGGTGTTATCTGAAGTTAAGAGCTGCATTTTTGTCAGTTAAATTCCATTTTTTTTTACTTCCAAGTCTATAATTTCTCATTGAATCCGTCAACCTATTTTCAGGTTTGTTATCTAAAGGAAAAATTTCAGTTGTCAGGGTGGAGGTCTTCGTGGATTTTAAAGCCACTGAGGATGCTACCTTTGGTCAGCATGTTTTGTAGGCTACTGTGTGAGGTTCTGACCTGTTTTATTTTAGTTCTTTTGATCCTGTTGGCTTTCTGCCATATTGCCCTCTCTTCATACTCTGTACTTTGGGAACTATCTATTGTAATCGATATGAAGATGCTCTGTATCCTGTGATGTATGATGAACAAACCTGTAAAATTATTTTTTTGGAGTTCATCATGGGACAGAGCCCACTTCTCTCTTGTTTGACTTGCCACAAAAACTGAAGCCTTTAACAGGGAGGGGATATGCTTGGGATAGGACTTTTTTTGCTAGTGTCCAGTCACTTAAATGTGGCAGCCGTAACCCAATCATAATGAATAAGAAGATGCTCTGTGTCACTTGTTTTACTCCAAGAAAAGTAATTTTTTACAGCTAAATCAAAAATTGAATTTTTTTTCACTTACATAAGATGTGCACTGATCATGTAGTGTCTTGGTGCCATTTGTTGCTCTGTATGCACAGCCTATGGTACAGTAAATCTACACATTCTGGTATTAGACGTTTCAATTTGTCTTCAAACATGAGGCGCATGCATGACCTCTACTGTAGGAACTGACACTTTGATGAAACTATATATCCCACGATCCCGGAGTCTCTCAGGATGGTGCAGGTGAGAGCTAGTAGCTAGATCTGGCACGGAGAGCTTACTGTTTTCATCAAATTACCATTCCCACATTTGCGAAGCAACAGAGGAAATTGCAAGGTATGCACTGAACATTGAGGTTGATTTACTAAAACTGGAGAGTGCAAAATCTGGTGCAGCTGTGCATGGTAGCCAATCAGCTTCATCTTGTTTAGTTAAGCTTTGACAATAAAACTGGAAGGTGATTGGTTTCTATGCAGAGCTGCACCAGATTTTGCACACTCCAATTTTAGTAAATCAACCTCTGTGACCCCAAACAAGAGGTTGCCTGTCCTAATAGTGAATAGGGACAAGCTTAGGTAAATGAATACATGGACATAGGAAAATCATTCAGCACTACAAACTGCAGCAACAAGATGTGAGCCCATATTTACAAGGTAAGGGAAACAAATGACAAATACCTAGTGAAGACAACAAAACCATTTGAAAGTTTAACTACCTGCCCGGCCTATTGTACATTGACCGAGCTGAAACCCTGTTAGCCTGGGAGGACGTCATGTGACGTCCTCCCAGATTCGCACCTCGCATGTGCCCCACGGGCCACGCTGCGGCGCGATCTGTCACTGGCTGTGTCCATGGGTCATGGCCAGTGACAGATTACTACACCGGCCCACTGCCAGTGTCATATGATTGCTGTGGCCAATCGCAGCAGATCATATGACATTTGTAAGCATTGAATGGCTTCCTGTCATGCCATTCACTGCTTACAACTGTGCTGCAAACTGTGATTGGTCAAAGTGATTACATGAACAGATTGGGCTAATCATAGCCCATCTGTAGCATGTGATCAGCGATGATCAAAGCAAAAACTACTGAATGAGCAGTGCTTGTTTACACCAATGTAATTTGTTAGTTTAAGAAATCATAATGTGTGAAAAAACAAAAAAAAAATCCTGATCACTTGCGCAAAGTAGTAGAATGTTACTATGGTAACATTGTATTGCTCTGGCCAAAGGAGTACAGAGGATAATTTTTAAACCTTTTTTTTATTTGATTTTTAATTATTATTTTTACATACTGTAGGCAGTTAGTGTCCCAGATCACCACCATGCCAGTTATATAATGATGCTGTACTGCATTGGTAACAGTATGTGTAAAAAAAAAAAAAATAAATACATTTCTTCAGTTAACATAAAAGTAACAAAAAAAATTACAGCTTCAAAAAACTGGCCATGCCTCTTACTAAATACCTCAGACTGTCTACCTTTTATGAAAAGCGGTCATTTGGGGGGTATTTGTACTGTCCTGGTATTTTGGACCTCAAGAAATTCGATCAGCTGTCAGTATATCACAATTTATAAATTTTTAGATATATATACCATAGTTTGTGATATAACTTTCCTACCAACTAAATTAACACTGATTTGGTTTTTTTTTTCACCAAAAACATGTAGCAGAATACATTTTGGCCTAAATTTGTGTAGAAAGATTATTTTTTTGCAAAATGTTAGAACGGAAACAAAGAAAAACGCATCTCGGTCTTTTTCGTTTATAGTGCAAAAAAAAAAACCCCAGTGGTGGTAAAATACCACCAAAAGAAATCTCTATTTGTGTGAAAAAAAAAAAGGATTGAAAAATGTCATGAGTACACTGTTGACATGACCGTGAAATTGTCATTTAAAGTGCAACAGTGCTCTAAATTGGCCTGGGCGGCAGGGGGGGAAAAGTTCCTGGTAAGTGGTTAAAATGCTCTTTTTTTTTTAATTTGTTTTTTTTTTTTTTTTTTAAGGTCAGCAATTTTAATTTTTGTTTTCATTTGTTTTTATATTGAGTACTGTCTTTGTGATAACAGCATTTGCTAAATACACTATATACTGATTTGCATTCTCAATAGACTCATTTATTAATTTGACAAAAGTGACAAACAAAAATCTTTCACCATCTTCTTTATTTTTGCAGTGTCAAGCCATGACTATAATTGATAAAGTTTCTCCAGTGAGTGCAACATGCCAGAACCAGCTTTGCAAGTCCATTTCACCATCTTCTGGAGACATAGATACAGGTTCAACAACTTTGGGCGTAGTATCAGCCTTAGCTAAAACGTCTCTTGGACCAGTACCTGGTGCTGCCGTCTATTCAAGCTCATCTGTTCCTGAAAAACCCGTGCCTTCAGAGCAGAATGATCCACGTAAGAACTGATTCTTGTCCTGTTTTTACTTGTTTTCCTTTTTCTTTAGACAATGGTTTTATTATGGTTTACAAAGGTTTCTTGTGGCTCTTCCTCTCCCTGTACACTATGGCTTCCACATGTCTACTGAGTTCCTATGACAGCTATAGGACAAACCTCACTCTTGTTTAAAGCGGAGCTCCACCCAAAAGGGGAAGTTCCGCTTTAAGGACTGCTCCCCGTTAAGGATTGGCACCTTTGGGGGGCTGGGGGGGAGCGGGTACCCGAATTTGAAAGGTACCCACTCCCACTTCCGGTCCGATTGTCTAGGCGATCGGAAACGGAAGGTGTCCTCCCTCCCTGTAGTCTTTTGGGAGACGTGACCGTTCCCAAAAGACTACAGGACCATTCATGAAGCGCAGCATTACTCGCGCATGTGCAGTGGGTACCTGGCTGTGAAGCCGCCTATCAAGCGGGTGCCCACACTGAAGATGCCAGCCTCATGGAATACAGGACAGCCGGTGAAATGAGCTGCAGGGGACACACCACGGGACAGAGGGACAGGTGAGTGGCTGTTTTTTTAAAAGTCAGCAGCTACAGTTTTTGTAGCTGCTGACTTTTATTTTTTGACAGGGTGAGTGGAACTCCGCTTTAAGACTTAAAATGCGTTGTAAATCTGAAACAGGAATCAAAAGGAGACACCTTATGGTGCATGCAAATGCTATATAAAATTTCCAGCACTCCTGAAATCTAGGCATTCTTAAGCTGACTTTGATGGGAGTGTGAATGAAAGCTAGCTGTAATATTATAATTGCACTTAGTTAATGTTTATGGTGTTAACAAAAACTGTATCACCATTAATACTAGTGTGCAAATATTAGTATGTCCCTTTTCAGCCAATCGTCTGCAAGCCTGCTGTAACTTTTTTTATGACTATGTAAGTCAGTGTAATTTAGCGCTTTGCTGTGCAACCTCCATTTAATTTCATTAACCCTTTTGTGCAACCACCACAGGCACTGCACATTTCCTGTTAACTTTTCTGATCACTGTTCACTAACCATTTATTGAGCACTTTAAATTCAGCATGTATTAACAGAATTTCCTATTCGGTGCATGTTAAAGAAGAACTCTCACATATATTTTTTACTAGACCCTTATTTAATCCCTCGGGGAGCAAGTGTTTTATGCACTTGACCTCACTCTAATTGGCAGCCCTATTGCAGAGTAAAAGTTCGACTTTGTTTATGCTGGCTGTAGCTCTTCCCCAGTCTGAAACCCAATTTATGGGTGTATCTGTGGAGGAAAAAAATACAGCCTGCACAATAAAATATTAAAATAAATATACACACACGCACAGCACAGCCTGTCACTGACAGGAGAAGGGCAATGGTGACACCAATTTCTGCTTGTGTCGGATTTGTTCTGTTCAGAAGAGCAGGGGGGATTTCTGGAGAAGGGGATTTCTTCAAGATACCAAACTAAGCTCAAGTGCTTAGTTAGGGTAAAAATCTATTCAACTGTAGGATTAGACTGATTTTTGTTTTTTAGGTTTACAACCACTTTAAATTCTGGAAATAGAGACGTATGGCACTATTAATCTCCATTTATCCCTACTCCATTGAGATTTTTGTTGTGGGTTATACTAGCTTTGAAGTAGTTATGCAAAAAGTCCTGATTGTATTTACTAGATTACTTCTTGTTAAATCTTGATCTAAACAAAGTGACTAGATTCTGCATGAATGGAAGAAAGTATATTCTTCATGAGGTCTGCAACAAAAGTTCTTTAATTTTCTCTGCTATGGAATACAAGAATGCAGCTGTAAATTGCTATATAGGTACTATAGAATACGAGCGTCTTTATACAGAATTCTGTTTTGTTTCTCCTTGTTGTGTTTTGATGTGATTTGGAAGTATCATCATTTATGGTGGCCAAGATCAGTTATCCAGGCATTCTGGCATGAATTTACACCGTACTGCTCAATGTTGCTAGCTATACTTCTGCTGTCCTATGTGTGATCTTGGTTAATGATACTTCATCTGCAATAAATAATTATAAATTGCCACTTATCCTGTTTTTCTAAAATGCAACTAATAGTTTGACTTTGGAAAACCTCTGCATTAATAACTCCTGAAAACGTTAACTAAAGTAATAGGAAGAATTAAGAGGCCTTTTTCAAATGTTACCACATCCTGATTACCACATCCTGGGCAGAATAAAATTAAGATATACTTTGCTTTCAGATTTGCCAGTGGTTGTTGTCTCTTTATTGTGCTGCTTATGTATGAAAAATGCTAACATGATTTTGTGTTGCTAACAGCAGTAAATCGGTATTCTAGTTTACTACTACATGCTGCTGAAGACACAGATGATAGCTTGCAACTTTCAATAGGCAATAAGAAATTGTCAGCATGTTTTTCATACAGAAGTCCCTTTTCACTCCAAGGCTCTCTGCTTACCATATTGCCAAATGTCTTGTACAGGAAAAAATATTGAAAGCAAATGTGTCATGAGAAAAATATTCTCATTGCTGTTGAGTAATAGCATATGATATTATGGTGTTCTGGAAAGTTAGAGAAAATTCAGAAGCCCTTATCTGAATACTTGTCCCAGGTCAGTGTCATAAAGTAGAACTCCAGTCCAGACAGTTGTGCTTTCTGAGAAACACTGGATTTTCACATAGAGAGCAACGCAATAACATACTCTGTTAGCTGCAGTACTTGAATTCTAGGTGGCACGGAGGTTTGCCTTGCCCGTAACATTTTCTTAAGTTGAAACTGGCTCTATAGAAGTTGTGTGCACCACATAGGACATAATAGCAGTGACTAATGTGCCCTAAAGCCCAAGGGCCTTTTTTCAGAGATAGTCTTATGCAGTCAATGGATCTTATGGAGAGCTGGGCATCTGCAGACAGGAAGTATTCCTGTTGCAATGCCCTTCGAAAAAAAAAAAAAACGTGGAGGCACGCAGTCCAGAGTTTTCCAGCAAGCACTTGGGAGACACATAGGGGGGCACAGTTGGCACTTTTTAACATCACTTCCTATTGAGGATTATTTAACACTGCTAAAATGTGTAATGTCTCACAGCTTTTTCATATGTATCTTACATATTTGTAGCTGTAACTTAAGGTAACTAATTTAGATACAGTTGCTTTTTAAAACCTCTCGCGCTGTAAAATTATTTTTTTGGAGTCCATTGAGGGACAGGAAATTATTGACCTTTTTGTGTTATGTCAAATACTGGAGGATTGGACAATGGAAATAACAAAAACCTGTAGGTCAGCCCAGGAAAAAAACCCTCTTACAACAGGCATGCGTTAGAGGTGATTGGGACCTCTGTCCCTCAATGGACTCCAAAGAAAAGGATTTTATGGTGAGCACAAAGTGTTTCCTTTCTGGTCCTTTTGAAGTACACAGGAAGTCATTCACCTTAGGGACTTCCAAAAGCGGCCCAACTGAGGGGTATGAAACACAGAAATAAACAGAAGTGGGAACTGCCTGCAGCTCAATGAGCCATCTGAAGATCCTTCCACTCAAAGCTGGCATCTGATGAAGCCTAAATATCCACCTGGCAGAACTTAGCGAATGTGTGAACAGAAGGCCAGCTGGCAGCCTTGCAAATCTGAAAGACAGTTGCCCAATTAAAAAAAAAACAAAAAAACCCAAGATCACAGATCTAGTAACGTGCCCTGCAGTCCTTTTTTTTTTTCTCTACATTCATTCAAAGTCCATAATTTATAATGCTTATCTGAACTATCAGAAAAAAGGGGGCATAGAGCTGAAATTACACACTGCAGAGCTCAGTGAGGACAGCTTTAAGAGCTGATTGGAGGGAAGGAATACACCCCCTTCATACAGTATTCTCTTGGTGTCAGAAAATTTGTAAGAAGCTACTTGTGCAGATAGTGGAGGGCTGAGACTGGTAACAGAAATGACGCTTAGTGCTCTGGATAGAGACAAGTATACATTAGAGGCATATGCTTTTGTTTTTATTTCATTTCTGAGGTTTACAGAGACTGTAATGAAAAGCCATTGCTATCTAAAACCATTATCAAGGGCAGAGATCTGACACTTAATTGTAAATGGAGAGTCTTGGGACATGGGCTTTTTGCCTGTATGCAAATATGTTTTGTGAGATAACCATCATCTATTAAAAATATTTATCAGCCTTTTTGTTATTCTCTCCTCTGCTCAATAAGTAAATGGCTGTGGTAAGATATGGTGTTCTTGGGTTTTTCGATCCCATCCTGCTTCTGTGGTATACTCCATTGTTGTACCTCTATCTTTTCCTGCATTTTTTGTCTATCTTGATACTACATTTGGTCCTGATGGGGTTTTTTTTTTTACATTTTCCAATAAAGTACAGTCAATGTTTCTCATAGCCACCAGTTTGTTTCAAAGTTGCTTTGAAAAATGACTGTCAGGGAACAGTGTGAGAGTCCTGAGCCATGACCAAGGTCAATTGGATACCCAGCCTATGCCAATATACCACAGTAATAGGCTATAGAAGATATTATTTTTCAACATGTGCTTTTTTTTTTTTTTCTATGTTTGCGCTTTTTGAAATCTTTCTTATTGAAAAGTCATTTTCCTTTACAACATTAACTTCTCCATATCTGTGTTTTTCAGCATTGGCAGTACCAGGGGATGGCGTTGGCACACCAGAAAAGATCATTTTTCCTGCTGAGAAAATAAGACTGAAATGGCAGCGAATACAGAAGGTTGGAGCTGGTCTCCAAAACCTTGGCAATACATGCTTTGTCAACTCTGTGCTGCAGTGCTTAACTTACACTGCACCTCTTGCAAACTACATGCTGAGCCGCGAGCACTCAAAGACATGTAAGTATGGCTTTTCATAAACTCTTTTTAAGCAGTTGGTCAAGTGTAGCTTTCAGGTGCCAACAATCTGTTGCTATTCAGCTGGTGCCTATTTATGATCGGATATGAGCCAATTGCTTCAGAAATCTTGAGGAATAAGTTAAATCTCTGTTTGAATTGGATTCATGACCTGAGAGAAACAGTTTGGGTTATCTTGATTTGCCTGTACAAATCAAGACATCTTTGATGCACCAGTTTTCACTCCTTTTTGGGTTATGGTCCTTTCCACACATTATGACCTTCATGCTCTATAATTTAATGGTGTAATTTGTGAAAAGTTAATGGTGTAATTTGTGAAAAGTTAACTATGGGTTAACTATAGAGCAGGAGGCTGTATGCCCTAGTTATTGACTTTAGACATGGCATCCTATTGGATGCATGATGCCGAACGTTTTTAAAAAATGAAACCGTTTGACCATATGTACTACCCCCCTGATAACATAATACATGGTCTGTCTATTGGGAAGCAGATTACGTTTATTGATAAAAAGCGAGCAAGGGAACTTGGAGGAAAGTGATTTTCATATTTTTTTTCAATTGAATTTCATATCTGATCTTCCGTTTCCTTTAATGTTTCTAGCTGTAAGTTCTTGATGCTATGCAGCACTGGCTTCAAGCAAGATTGCAACCTATTGCTAAACTTGTCCAGTATAATCCTTGCCAGTGCCAGCAAATTTGCCCTGCTGTGCTGCGATACTTAAGTCCTTCCTTAAATGGGGAGCGTGAGCCAAGGCTCTGGAGAGCACACAGTCACATTATCTTGCTCTTCAACACCTACAAGCTGTTTTGGAGTTTTTTGGCCCTGGACTCATGGAGCAGCCCAGGAATTGGATGATACAACCACCATTTTGGGCAGGTATATATACCTTCTACACACAATGTCCAACTGTGACCACCACAATTTTATTACATTGATTTGAATTTGAATAATATTTTGGTGGAATACTCCAAATTCTGTTAGAAATTTTAAATACCAAGAAGTAGTACCTGTAGAGAGATTATCTTTCTGGGCTATATATGACATAAGATGGTTTCCTCCTGTTTTGTAATGGTAGCTCAAGCAGATAGGCTCTTAAAATTATAAAGGAATTCTACACCCAGTTTTTAAGTGTTAGAATTCCATTTAAGTGGGTTAAGTCTCCATATAAATAACCATGAGCGCTCTCCTTGGAGCTGAGTGCAATGTGCTTGCACCTACTTTGTGGTTTGATTACATGACCTCCGGTTGTATGGCAGCCTGTAGTGATGATGCTTAGATGCCATAGGTCAGCTACTTTATCCATTTGACAGTCCTCCTTGCTGGGTTATGATAATTGTCAGTGGTTAGTCTAAAATTTGGGAAGGCATTTCCCATACTAGATATCTTAGGTTTTAGAAGTCTTACTGGGTGAGACTACAGCTATGGCTATGTTTGTCCATAAATAAGTTGTCAAGTTGAAGTGTAGTGATTTTATTCTTCAAAAAAATAAGTAAATAAAATTATAGGAAAGTGTGTGCTTTGTGGCTATTGGCATTTTACTGGGTATGTAGTGTTTTAGTGTATACTTCAATGTTCAGAAGCAGAATATATTGACTTTTTCTCAGGTAAATGTAACATTTATGCTTTCTGGTCAGGGCTCTAAGCTAATTTAACATGTTTACCAAACGAATCTTAACTGTTTTTAAGAAGACTGTTAACAGAATTGAAGATGAGATTATACACACACCTGGATGAGTCAGAAGAATGATTCATTCCTACTTTCTACCTGCTGTGTAGGGCTCTGTCAAGCCTGAAAATAAAAAAAAAAAATGCTGCTCTGTGTAAATTGTCATTGATGCACCCTGCTCTAAATGTTTATTTGCAAAATAAAGGTATGACTGAAGAAACGTGAGCGATTTTATCAGCAGGGTTTAATCGCTACTGCAAAAGCTATTGCCAGCGATTTAGCAGCGATATGATCACTAGAGTCCTTGATTTGCTACAGCATTGGGTTGTACTCTGCTACATATCGCTCTCTCCAAACCCAACTATTTGTACCTAAACTTAACAATTGCTGCAATATTTCATTGAAAACCATGAAGCAATTTTGCTGCCAAGCCAAAACGCTGATGATTTTTGATTTCTGATCGCAACAGATCGCTTTGCAAATTTGTGTGGTTTGTCAGCCTTATGTTTTCTCTGCTGTAAATTTGTATATGACAGCTATTCTATGTTTTTGAAACAATTGAGTTTTATGGTTTTATTTTTACATAGCCCCCTTGTGTTGTGTTATACTGTTAGTGGCAGAATATGGTGTGTTGGGTTGTATAAATCTTACTGTATAATCTGAAGAGCACAAGCGCCTATACATACACTATCCTGTGTGCGTGGGAAGTGCACTTCTTCGGTAGTATACTTTTTTTTTTTTTTTTTTTTTTTTTTTTTTTTCCTTTCCCCCCTTCATTTAGTGAGGGTAGATTGGCCTGCCTAGGTGCTTGTAAAAGCAGCTTGTGTGCACAGAACCTTACGTATTTCACCTAATGTGTTTTTATTTTTATTTTATTTTTTTTTTGTGGTCAGTTTGCAAATTAAGTATATGGAAGCTATAGTATAGTGTCTTTTGTGTTTCTCCTACAGCAAACTGCTTTAATGATTACTATATTAAGGGGTGTGTGTGTGTGTGTGTGTGATATATATATTTTATTTTATTTTAAAGCATTCCCACTTATCATATGGAATTTCTTTTCTTTTACCTGGTCACTAACTTTATAATTTGTATGATCAACTTTTCAGCTTGAAAGACAAATATTCTTTGAGGTTCTTAACCAGTTAAGGATCTAGGATATGCCTTGTAAATATTGGAATTCTTCCTTCTGAGCATACAAGCAGCAGGTACCTGCTGCCAGTTTGACATCTAAGTTTCTGACCTTTTTTTAGCAGTACAGTAGTTGTAGTTATCTGTTCCTCCAAGACGTGAATTGCAAAATATCTATTTTATTTCTCATCATTCATTGAGGGACACAAGAATTTAGTTGATTATACTGCTGCTTGCAGGAGGATTGGACACTAGTAAATGGAGAAATCGCAAGCCAGCCTCCAGTATAGCCCCTTCTTTTGCAATATTGCACTATTGGTTCTCCTTTGTCTTGTCTTCCTACATAACACATCGTTATAAGGGGAAATCCTTTTTGAAGTTGGATGTAAGGAAGCTCTTGTATATAGAGTGGATATATATATGGAGAAGACATTTTCCCTGGGAATTGGAGGATAATATTGTATCCATAAAGTGCAATTTATTATCTCTGGTGAGTGCGGAATACATCAGTATTCACAGGAAGGTGTGGATCCGTGGAGTCTTTTCTCTGTATTACACTTATCCTAAAAAAAATTTTGGAGCACTATTTGCATGTTTAAAAGTGACTTTCTTTGTTTTTGTTTTCATCACTTTTTGTATTTGGACACACAATTTTTATAACTTTTTTTTTTTTTTTTTTTTTTCGTTTTGGTGGTTTTGGACATTTATTTTATAACCACAGAATTTATTATGAATTGTGTATAATTTTTTATTCATTTCATGTTTTGCGCTGTTTTATTGTTTCACTGATTTTTTTTTTTTTTTTTTTTTTTCTTTGATTTTTTTTTTCTCAATCTTTTTGACTCTTATCAAGGCACAGCAGCACTCGCTTTCAAATTTTTCACACAGTTCTTGTGGCGCAGGATGTTTTTGTTTTAGTTCTTGTTTTTTTTTTTTTTTTTTGCTCGTGTCCTAAGAGGATTGATGTCTTTCCCAGCTTTGCTGAGAAAAATGATTAATTTTTTTTGTGCTGGCCTTTTTTCCTATTTTTTTATTTTTTATTCATCCACATCAAGATTCCTTATTATATCCCTATTTGAGCTGGTCTCTATATATAGCAGCTATCCATGTTGGCATTACCTCAGACTAGCTTTTGGAATCTGACTGGATATGCAAAGCTAGCCTAGAATGTGGCCTTCGGGCACTGGGCTCTGCATTGGGGAGCTTTCCAGACCAGAGTGTACTGGTTAGTTTTGCGTGCTTTCCAGGCCATGGCACAGGCCCAGGTATGACTGTCTATAAAATTGTCAGTAAGGCTATATAGACTGAAGCACTGAGAACTACCTCACTAGCCTGCATCATTGGGTCCCATTTCAAATTCTTTGCCACCCGTCATTCAAGGCGTGGAGCATCACAAATACATGCTCAGTGCTCTTTTCCACCAGTCATTGTAAGAGGAAGCACCATATTGCTGTTACTTCTGCTTGCAAGTAACCTCATGGAATTCCAGTCTGTTATCACTGCCCACCTTAAGTGACTAGGTCACCTCCACCTGTCTGCCTTGGGTTTTTGAGTAATTGATGCCTTGCCTAGCATTTTGGACCTAGTTGCATACTGCTACATGGCTGCAATGTGTCTGCACACAGACACCGGGGGCAGTCCTGCTGCTACAGGTTACCCCAGCTTATACTCTGCTAGCGGTTCTGGTGGTGTCTACTCTACATCCTCTTCTCTGCGCACATTAATGGAAAAAGAGCCTCAACCCGCTCCCACAAGATCCCCTGCAAAGTCTCTCTGACCCTCCAGAGCTTTCATGTCCGGCTGGAAAATTGGTCCCTGTGACTCTGATTCAAAGTTACATTAGTCGATGCAGTGTAGTTACCTGCCATCCCCTCAGATTTACATGGGGCTTTTGTCTAGTATGTTTACCACTGCTCAAGGTAGAGAGACTCCCCATCTCCAAGCACAACTCCTCCTGTACGTGCCAGCCCAGCTCGTGTTTTGCATAGATGAGAACAAAGGACATCCGATCAGCTGCACGCCGAGCAATCCACTATTGAACCAAGATAAAACCAATACAGACAGTGGAAATATAGTGGGGGACTAGCAGGTAAACATGGTTCACGCTAAAGACAGCGCTTATGCATTACCTGGGCTTTTGTCTAATCTTATTGATTCAGTGCCTTCTACTCTGCAATTGTAGGATCA